GAGCAAGTGCAACGTCTGTTTGAAAACTGCTGCCCGGGTCCGCCGGTCGGGTCGTGTGGTGAGTTGAGACAACGGTGACTGAATTTAGACGGGGCCTTTGTTAGCTAACAAAATCTACACAGAAATAAGTAACCAGTTCCACTGTCACACAGACAGATTTCTAGCGAGTCAGCTAGAAGTTATCAAGTTTGTCCAGCGTCCTCTCTTCCTTCTTCCTATTCCCCCTCCATGCGCGTCCCCGCGGAGCGCGCTCTAGTGCAACGGCGAAGGAAGTGCTGCAGTCAGCCTCGCGGGCTTGTTTGGTGACGTTACATATCACCAACAAATATTATTATTATTATCATCCTGCTTTGTTTTTTTTCTTAGTTTTTCGGTGTCCCCCCACACAAACATATAAAGTGTTTAAAGTGTCTCTGATCTTACAAATAACACATAGAAACATGGTTGCAAAGCTAAAATGTTCAGCATATTTAGAAAATATGTGCTACTGTCACTGGCCAATAAGTATAATAACTAATTTGATATTCACACATATATGAATATCAAAATGATTGGGATCCTAGAGCAGACTCATTGCACAACACTAGGGCTGCCACGATTAGTCGACTATTAAAATCGTCGACGACTAATTTAATAGTCGACGCATCGTTTGAAGCTTTGTACGATCACAAAGGACGCAGGAATGAGTAGTAGGATTTAAGAGTGTAATAACGGACTGAAACAGAAGATGGCAGCACTGCATGTACAAGGATGCCAGCTGCCGTAAAACCCCGAAGAAGAAGAAGCTGTGTCCCAGAATTCATAGCGCAGCTGTCAGCAATGGCGGCAGCTAGTTAGTTTTAACTTTACTTTTATTATTCTTTCTGGGTCACAAAATAAACGTTTAACATATTTTCAGGCGAGAATGTAGCTGTGTAAACCTCAAATATCTGCTCAGTTTATCAAGACACCACATATTTTCAAAAGCGCTCCGACGTTTTCGGAGACGTCTGTTACCCACTAGCTCGTTAGATAGGCGGGGGCAAGAGCCGTGAGAACACCGGACTCCCAGCAAATCGTTTTCAAACCCACCGCCGTCTTTCGCTAGTCAGGTTAAACATATATATAAGTCACTTAGATAACTTAAAAATGTTATTGTTTGGCTTTCTTTAGTATTTTATTTGTTCCTGAGTAAATCGGTTTGGCTGAGATTAAAGTTATAGTTTTTGCACAGCTAAAACTGTCAAGCAGACAGCTGATTATCAGAAGTGTGAGACGCTGGAGAATATACTCCGGTGTCCTGTTATATTTTAGAAAGCAAGGAGTTTATTAAACTTCACCGAAACAATCTGCAAATTTCATTAAAAATTAATAAACTACCATCTTGTCTTTATTTTTAGTTAGCACAAACACTTCAAGCTGTAAGCTAATGATAGTTATATAAGACCAGATGCTGCTGGTGCAATAAGCTGTACGCTGTATGTCCAATGGATGATGATCTGATTAGTCAACTAATCGCAAAAATAATCGGTGACTAGTCGACTATCAAAATAATCGTTTGTGGCAGCCCTACACAACACTAAAGACTACCTAAAGTTATAAACATTGTGAATAAGACATTGAAAGTTAAGAATTTTAATATGAGAAGGATTGGCTAGTCTCAAGTGCCCACTCCCAGCTGTGATAAGGGGGATGATATTTTGACACTTCACTCCATAGTGGCCTTTCTTGGTACCAGGCTGTAAACAAATGTTCTGCCATTATAACAATGAAGTCTGTGTGGGCTGACTTGCTTTTGGGCCATGCCTCAAGTGGCCACTCTCAGAACAGCAGTTTTAGGCACGTCTGCATTAGCTTCATTTTACAGTCTGTCAGGCTGGTACATCATTCTTAATTTATGCTACCGTTGTGTCTGTTGCAGTCCTCCAAAATCCAAACATGATCAACATGGATGCTATGAAGGAAAGGGAGAGGCAGCAGCATTCTTCTGGAATGGGAAAAGCACGAAAAAACATCAAAGTTTAAAAAGTAGACTATTAAAAGCACAGACACTGGCTTTTTAACATAAGTTTCACTTCAGCTCTTCGTAATGTTACAACTTTGCTCTTCTCTGCAGCTGGATGATGGACCAGCAACAACTCCTTGTACCAGATATTTGAGACTGCCCCCACCTGACAACAGATGCACTCTGCAGGTATATGGGCAGTCCTTAGCTGCCCATATACTGCCAATGCGCTACCACTGCTGAACCATAGTTTCCTCATGAGTGTTACCTACTGCATCAGCTTGTAAAGAGTTGTGGCAGTGCATTCCTTTTTTCCATACGTTTTTTAGTTTCTCCACCTGTCTGCCTCAGTCTCATAAAAAGGACATGCTTGAAAGCATTTAGGATTTTTTCCCCCTTTGATACAGTGAGGAGGGGATTAGACTTTGGTGGTCAAGGATCACTCTCCATTTCACCTGCTTTGGTGCTCATTCTGATTGTACAGGTAGAACAGCTCCTCCAAGAGGATGGCACATCGAAATCTGCAAATTTCACTTCAGCTCTCCGTAATGTTATGACTTAGAGATTTCAAGGGGCAGGCAAGTACACAAGGACAGTTAGGACAGCAGACATCGTCAGCAATGACTAGTACTTTCTTCTTTGTTTGAGGAGGAACATGAGGAGCAGTGACCTCCAGAGGGTTACACAAATGTGCATGTTTCTAACCAAACTGTCACGAGTGACGTATGTCAATATAAAAGAAAAAAAATTCTTGAGACCTTAAGATAAACAAGGAGATCATTTAATTTGTTTTTTCTCATACTTTTTATACTCATTTGTCTCATTGAGTCTAAAAAGTTGTTTCTGTCCAAACAGAGGTGATAAACATAAACACATAAACTGGCTGCAAGTCCTGATTTTACCCCAGTTTAAGATGCAAAGAATTATAACCATCGGCTAGTATTTTACGTTATTTCTCTTCAGTTTCAATCCTGATATTATAATAAGCTGATAACTGTGGTTGGTTGCTTGTACAAAGGTTTACTGTGTTAAATATGAACATAGTAAATAGTTCCGTAAATTTTAAATAAAGTTTAAAAGGCCCTTAGTGACTTAACTTCAGCTATGTGTATTTTACGGCCACCTGTATCTATCTGTAGGAGACCATTCAACTATAATAACAATACATTAAGATGGAATTACTCATCATTTACCTGTCAAACCGCAAGCTACGCCCATACAAGGCATCCCAGTCCTACCCATATGTGGTCCAACCCTTAGAAACGTCCCATTACCGTCACAAATACAGGAAAAATGGCGGCGAGTATGTTGCGGCTCCCGCTGCGACTTTCCTCCAGAAATATGGGGATAATGACCCGTAATACCGGCTTGAAGACCTCAAATATACCCAGGACGACTCAAAGCAGGACCGCAGTGTCTACGCCGTCTGGAGCAATTCTACCGAAGCCGGAAAAAGTGAGTTTCCAACGTTCAGTTTACAGAGGTAGCCGACCGGAGTTTACGAGTGGGCGGGACAGCGGTGGTTTGACGGAAGCTTTGACGAATAGAAAGACAGGATACGCACCGGACTTGTTAAATCAGCAAATGAACGTTTGTTTTGTTAAAGGGAGGCTATTAAAGGAAATAAGTCACTAGTAAATTTAAAGATCGTTTATTATTCAAAGACTCGTTTTATTTGGCGAAATGTAGTGTTGTGTCGTTAAAAAATACGTCCGCTGGACAGCCGCTAATGTTGGCGAGTAATTTATAGACTTGAAGCCTAAACTCGTCGATGTTCGGGCAGGACATGTCCAGTTGGTCGCAATAAAATGTCGCAATAAAAACACGTTAATAAGAGAAATTGATTTAATGATCGATGGACGGAAACTGCCGTGAGGTCAAGGGCTAAAATGATCTGCTCTGTAACCACACACACGTCGTCCACTCTTTTTGGGCCTTCGACATTTGTATATGATTCTCTGCTGGAATCTGCTTCACGACTGTCTGAGGGCTGTTAACTCAAATACATGTATTCATATGGAGATACCCATCGACCATGCTTTCCGGAGCCAAGTCAACATGACTCAGAATAGAGCTTCAGTGTAAGGATGTAATGACCTGGTGACATCAGTTGTGCTTTTAGTGAAAGCATTTTGTGTTTCAGATATTCTGAAACACTCCTGCCAGTTTGGCCTCAGTTTTGTTTTGTTTTTTACCTGGAAATTTGTAAAACGTCAGCTCTGTTACAACCAATCTCCCCTGAATCCAGCTGTGCCACAACACCTGCAGAAAACCTAGTTATGTTTAGTGATCTGAATAGTTCTTGCATCCTCTTGGTTTAACCATAACTTTTCTCATTGTTTGATTTTTGCAGACACCATTTGGTCTCATCCGCATGACATTAGTGGTGGTGCCTTTCCTTTATGTGGGAAATCTGATCAGCAAGAACTTTGCCGCCCTCCTGGAGGAGCACGACATCTTTGTCCCTGAAGACGACGATGACGACGATTGACCTAAGTCTGGAAAAGTAAATGGTAAAGTTCAAGTGCTTATTAGCCACACCTTATGCAATCTTTAAGCATTGAGGCTGGGACCTTTAGTCACGGTCTTCTACTGTGTAAAGGGTGTGTCAGCTGCATGTCAAAGGAAGTAATCTGTGACATTTTTCCAGTGATGACAACTGTGTTCTGTTTTTTTTTCATTTACATCCACAGGGTGCTTTGCAATATTGACTGAAAGCATACCAGTCGGCACAAGGAAGATGGGGCACTTTGTCTTCCAAATAAACCCCTCTGTCTCCACCCTCTTCCTTTCCCTATTCTCTAATATTTAACTTGTTTTGCCTTCAAGAATTTATCAGAAATGTCATATCATGCGAGGCTATCACAACTACTAGTTTTGGCCTCGCTCCTGTTTGCATGTTTGTGTGTGACTAATAAATAAAGAGTCTCTTATGTGGAAAACACTTGTTGTTATTTAATCTTAACACCCATAATTTTTAATTCTGGCTCATTTTAGGCTTATCAGGTCATGATAACATATATTGCTTTTTTTTTTCTTCTTCTTCTTTTTAAATATTGGCTGGTTTTCTTTGTCAAAGTACATTTTTTAAGGCGTGTCCTCGTAGGTCAGGTCTGTCTTGCTCCCTCCTGAAGGGCAGCATTGGCCAGTCTCAGGTGTTCATTGAGTGAGCCCATCTCCAGCTGGCCACGCCCCCTTGTGTCACTTAGCTCTACATATGCCTCCTTAAAACGCTCATAAGCGACTTCTTTCTCCTGGAATAAGGACAGACATGGTAAGCATAGTTAGGCCATTTAATTGTTCTAAATTTTTAATGTGTATTATTTCTGTGTGATAAAAGAGATAAGACTGTAAAACATACCTTTGTAAGAGATTGCACTTCATTCTGTAGACAACTGATTTCTTTTTTAAGATACTGAACTTCATTTTCTTTTGCTCTGAGTAGAGTCTGTAAGACATTAAACACAACCTCTTATTCAGTAAAAGGACTAGATGTTACAATCCCTGATAATGCATTGCTTTAAATGGAGAAAATCTTGAGGGATGGCTGTTACGAGAAAAGGCAGCCCAGAAACGTTACCAGTTTGGGACACGTTGTCAGTAGTGGACCTTGGATTCATCAGGTGTTTCGGCCATTATCACTAGACACCCTCATCCAAGGAGGCCACTGGTTTATGTTACATTGTTATTTCTCTTCTTTCTTCTACAGAAAATAAACTGTAGTTTTCTACAGTTTATTTTCTTCTATCTATTCAATGCAACTAAAATATAATACTTACCTCTTTAACATTTATGGAGCCTCACTTTTTCAAAGGGATAGAAAAGGTGATAGAAGTAAGACAAGAGGGATAAGATAGCAGAGAGGAGAGCCGGATGGGGGCCACCCGATCTGGCTTCCCACACCTCCCCGCCGGATCGGGCTGTATGCTCTACCTCCCCACTGCCTCCCAGAAAAGGGAAGAGGAGAAGAGCGAAAAAACCCACCAGATCAAAAATGCAGAGCTGCCTGCTATGGTGACTCATTGTAAATAAGGAAGCAGCTGAAAGTAGGATTTACAGACAGTGAGTGAGTGCCATTTCTCTGGGAAAAATGCCTTGTTGATGCTAGATTGCTTTATTATCATAGGAATCAAAGTCACCTGAAATAACCACTCATTACAACCAAGGTATGTAGGTATGTCTCAAAGCACAATATATTGAAACTTGAAGCAGAAGGGCTACAGCAGCAGATGACCACACTGTGTGAATTTTAGCCTGGGCTCACTAAAACTAGACAAAAGAAGATTTGAAAAACGTTGCCTGGTCTGATGAGTTTCTGCAACATTTGGTTGGAAGGGTCAGAATTTGGTGTGAACAACATGAAAACATGGATCCATCCTGACATGTATCAAGAGTTCTTTATTATTTTGTAGAGAATAATAAAGAATCTCCATCAGAATTTTAATTATCACTTTACAGTGTAATAAAAATGGAAAACATTTGACAGGCAGGAACCTGAGGAAAAGAAATGATTCAAATGCATCCTAGATGTGCTTAGATTCACCAGTCGATTGATTCACCAGAGATGCGCAGGATGATGATGTACTTTATTTCAGCCTGTAGGTGGCGATATGTACTGCAGCTGAATGCTCAACAAAAATGAGGCCAAGAAACAGGTGACCGTCGCCACAGGGGGTCATTAAATCAGGATACAAGGCAAAAGAAAACACTTTGATCCATTTGTTTTTATGGAGTGGGTTCAAAATCCCACAGACATAGATCAGATGCTGTTGTGAGGTTCCCAGTGATGACAGTGACGTCAACATTTGTCCTTTAATATTTCCACACAGCTATAAATAAAGTTGGTTTGAGCGTGGGCAAATATATTTTTCAGCTTATCTGTTTTCATATAAGAAACTCTAATCAATACCTCTAATTCTGATGCAGCGCACTCAGTGTTGCAAAGGGATACCACATCCGACCTCTGACCTGTGATGAAATACCGCATACGGCTGATCTCTTCTGCCAGTTTGACCTTGAGATCCTGTAACAGAGATGTGTAGCTCAGAAATAAGAAGTATTACAATGTATGTGCTTCTTTATTATGTTTCCTCAATATGTAAACGTATAAGAATAAAATAAAGAGGATGTGAAGGTCATCGTTTCACTTTCTAACACATCATGTTGTTCTGTATTCAAATTCATTTGCAAACAAAGGCTGTGCAGAAACCTGGTTCTCTCTTCTGAGCTGCTCCAGCTCCTTCTCCTTGCATCCGAGCTCTGTCTCTCGGCTCTTACTGCTGTGTTCAGCGCGGTCCAGCTCCAGGCACTTCTGAGAGTAACGTTCTGACAGCACATCTAACTCAGAGTGCAAGACATCCGCCTGGAGCCTGGCATGCACAAACACACGAGTTGTGAGGTTTTTGTGAGGTCTTAATTATAATGCATCACAACAGGCGTGTGGTCAAGTGTAGAACATCTTCAGCCTGCAGCGAGGAGGGCTATGGTACACTTACGCCTGCCCTCGGCACGATGAATCCACATGTGCCGCTCCTGCGAACGACTTCCTGGCCTTCTCCACTTGTCTCTCCAGCTCCTCTCTGTGAGCTGCTCTCAGTGCCTCCATAGCTTTTGATAAACAGTAAGTTAGCTAGTTAATGCATTCAGTAAACAACCTTAAAACAAGAACACCAAAAATAGGCTTGCAGGTGACAGCAGCATCAGTAGGTAGTACTGTATACAGTAAATACCATATATTCTATTTTTGCACCACTGTTTTGTTGCACTATGACTCCAAGTCCAGTTCCTTTTTTGTGTACACACTTGGTATTAATAGGTTTCTCATATGTGTGAGCTGATGATTTCTTGACTCTCATGTATCAGTCAAGAAATGTTAATTTTACTGAATTGCAAATCAATAAATGCCTTTTTTGGCATGAAATACGTTTTAGTGCAGGTCCCTAAAAAGTTAAAATTTAGATGAAAGAATGAATTAATCAATTTCTTCACTTAGATGACGAATAAAGAAGAGTCATTTCAGTGCAGTCGTTTCACACTGTCATCCTCGGTAGGTCTAATAATGGCTGAAATGATTTGTGCACAACTTTAATCTTTTCCAGGATTTAGTCTGAGCCGTAAGAGGGAATTCGTAGAAAACACCCTCACTGGATTAACTGGCTAAGAGAGTGGATGGATAGTTGCATACTGCCTTACGGTCATAAATTAATGGTCCCTCATACCTAAAGCAAGATCTTTATTTTCAAAAGATTAACTTTCAAAGTAAATTGGAGTCTAGTATCAACTCTACTATTGTGAGGTTTAGGACTGAAGGAATTCAATCTTGATAAATGATATGACTGTGTAACATGCATGTAAGGGACCAAGGGCTAAGATTCATAATTATTTATTTTAGTTAAAATAAATACTGCACCCTGCAGAGAGCAAAAAGCAAATCCTCATGTTTAGCTGAAGCTGCTGTTGCTGTTGATACTCCGTGACTCACCTTTAGCAGCTGCTTGGCTCTCCTCCTGTAGCATCCTGTCTTTTTCCTCTTCTAGCTTTTTTATCTCCTTGGCATGCTTCTCCTGCAGCTCCTGCAGTGCTTTCCTGTGTGCTACTTCCATGGCCTCCAGTCTGGCCCTACAAAGTGCCCCAGTGCCACAGGGACTCTCCACCTCTATACCCATGGCCGCACGCTCCCTCTTAATGCTCTCCACCTGCTTTCGAAGAAAAACAGCCTGGAAGATTGTTTTATAGAAAATGTGTAGGGGTAGAGAGGGAGGAGGTGAAAAAAAAGACTGAAATCCCGATCCCTGTTGGATAATAGTATAATTTTCTTGCCCTGACTCTGTGCATCACTTTTTTTAACATGAAAGTTCTCTCCTACCTCTTTTTGCAGTGCTTCAGCTGTACTCATTGTGATCTGGGCGCCATTTATGGATGGAGGAGCCTCCTTCATGTTTGATGTATCAGTTTGTGACCCGGTGACAGACTGGTTGACCTCTTGAGGTGGTGAGTGATCTCTCTGGGGAGTAAGTAGAGATGCAGATGCCTGTGCGGTGCTTGACTGATAAGCCTGGGTGCCTATGAGAGACTGTGAGCTCATGTCCTGAAATGACATTGTCTCAAATTCTACCCACTTCCTGTTAACTTCAGAGTCCATAGTTTCAATAACAGGCACAGGTACACTCCCCTTTTTCAGCTCCATGGACTCCCACCTGCTGCCCATCTCATTGACGGGGAGCCCCTCCTCAAACCACTTGTTCCTCTCCTCCAGTCGTTTTGCCTGCTCGCGGTCCCAGCCCTCCCCTTCCTCTCTCTGACTGGCTAGCGATAAGTCCGCACCCAGATCTCTGTCTGCTGCTTGGTGGTGGATTTCGGTCTGGTAGGAGTTTGCAGCTGTAGTGGTGGAGGTGCAAGTGGCAGGTTCATAGCCCGAATCCTTGCAGGTGAACTGAGCAGGGGGTTGGCATGGTGACGGTCTCCGGGAGAGGGGGTTCTCTTTCTCGCTGCCGATGTCTGATTGGCTGAGGTCCGAATGAGGGAAATACAGGAGAGTAGAGTTACACATTCAAAGAAAGATAAGAGAGACAAGGTCCACTGCAGGCAGACCACCCAATCATAGCCGTGCTCCACAGAAATGTTCAGATCTTGTTTTTGGAGACTGAGGATTTTAGCACTATGATAAACATCAAGTATTCACCATATAGGGTGTTTCTGTTCTGTCTGCCACTAATTAAGATCAAGAGATACCAGTAATTTTAATTTAATTTAAGATCATTTACTGCTTTGGTAATGAAATGCACAAAGTCTATGAAGGGCGCAGGTACAGGGCTAGTTAATTCTATGAAAATAATAATAATATAAAACTATAAAAATAAGAAAGTAGAAAGAACTTTTGCAATGATGCCTCACAGCAAGAAGGGGTTCTTTTGGCTGGCTGGGCCTTTTGTAAGGAATTTTCATGTTCTTCTTGTGCATGTGTGGGTAATCCAGCTTCCTCCCACAATCCAGAGAGATTAAGTTAACTGGTGATTCTAAATTGGCTGTACGTGTGAGTGTGAGCATGAATAGTTGTCTGCCTCTCCGTGTTAGCCCTGCGACAAACTACCTGTCCAGACTGTAACCTGCCTCATCGGCTTGCACCCACCTCGACCCAGAATCGCCTTTATTTGACAGTTTCAGTGAAGGGAGACAAATCAGGGAAATGACGTACAACAAACAATCCAGCCAGACTGCTTTACACGCATCAGGTTCTAAGTTAAATGAAATGACTAAATAGTGTATGTATGTAATAAATAGTGTATATGGTTCTTGAAATGAACTCCAGTTCCAGCAGCTACAACAGTCACAGTCTGCTGCATTAAGCCTAATGCATTAATAATAGTAATAAAACAATGTAATATGTAAAAGC